AGTGACCGTGATTGGCTAGCCTAGGCGTTGCCCCATCAGGTCACATGAAATCTGATCAAGAAAGTCTATCCGTATCCTGTTCCGGTAACGGTCAATTCTCTGCAACCCACAATAGCACTGGTCGAACTGCTGCAGTACACACTATATCATACAAAGATAACCCAATGTCATGGTGGAGCCAGAGGTGTCTCAAGTTGACTAACGCCTACCTACAGTATTACTCGGAACATACAGAAAACCCTACAACTGGTTTCGAGGTTCATTAGGCAGTGAAGTGTCCACTGCATACTTAACATCAAACAGCCTGTCATCTTGGAGAATACCAGTGGCATTATCGTCGCATAAGGTCAGACCTGTTTCTGGCTGTCTCCTTTTCCCAACATCCAATCGGCCTAAGGCCCTTTTTGTAGTGCCCGTGTGACACGTTATTATTCCACTATGCCACCGATCTCTTTAATTCCCCCCAAAGAGGGCTATCATCAGAAGAGATTATTTTGTAGGCAAAAGGTGGCACGCGGGTGAAGGAGTTGACAGATGTAGGCGAAACGAAACGGAAGTAGTTTAGGCCAGACAAGATGAGATATTCCATAGTGCGACCGGTACCTAACATACCCCGGGGTAAACAAACAGATGGTTGAATGAAAGACCTCCTACACGAGATAATGCTCTGTGTGACTGACGAAACTCGGCAAGAACAATGATGGTAATAATGGTGATCCCATCATAGCTCGTCCTAACGAAAGAAAAACATTATGTTGTGTACACTGCATATATATGTCTATACCAAATGCATACAATAATTGTTCCCCTTTTAGGAAAAAAAATAATTAAAAATTTAGCGATTCTAATAGAAATCTTTAGAGAATCCAAGAATTATGTCAGACATTCTTGAGGAATTCTATGCCCATGGTGTAAAAGGGGACACCGGGACCTTACCCGTGATATCCACAGCTGGTTGTTCCAATCGTGCAGCGATTGACTGATCAAGTTGACCGGCTAATTGCACGGCCCGTTGAAACAGTACTTTGTACTTTTGGAGGTGATATCGGAGTACATCTGGAGAAAAGTGATTCGAAATCGGGGGGGGGTGATAGATTAACGCGTGGTTGATCCCAGACGAACGGGTAACCTTTCCAAAACTGATCGGCGATAGGGGAAAAGCAAAACGATCAGAACAATACTGAAGCAGAGCAACGGAACACAGAGGGAGTTGTGTTCTGCTACTCGATTATGTGATGGCTTACTTATTGTCCGAAGCAGTTATTTAGCCATTTCAACAACACATGTATTATCCGTGCATGGCTATTAGCAGACAAATGTTCAATTGATCCACTAACTATGCGATGTGGGAGAGAAATTAACTCCAGAGAGTACACTAATTGTTCAAGTGTTTTGATGTCACTCACTTATATTCTACTTCTTTGTTTCTTTTTGAGATGAAGAGCGTGCATTCCTGTAAACCTTGTAAACTGATATATATATATATATCTTGCGGCTCGTCAGGCATGCGTATCCGGTAGTCTTTTGTTAGTTCATTCATACACTTGTACCCAGCAAGTGTATTTTCGTCACAATAACCTTGTTTGTAACACCGGGTAACTATTGGATACAAAGCGCTTTGAAGAACACATGCTATAATTTCATGCTTTCGTAAGTGGGTTAGATGCTACTAGGTTATGCTACAAGTCATTGTGACGAAAATACACTTCCTGGGTACAAGTATATGAATGAACTAACAAAAGACTACCAGATACGCACGCCTGACGAGCGGCAAGACCCGCGAAACCGGTCGTGTGATTCCAGGGAAATTTTGTCGTCATTCACATACTACTTATTCTCAAATATTCTACAGAGACCATCAGGTCGCGTTTGTTGCGGTTAGTAGCATCTAACCCACTTACAATACATCGAATCATATAATTGGTTCTTCGATGGACTGGCTCTGAAAGAGCTGTCTATCCAATAGTCACCCGGTGTTGAAAACAAGATTATTGTGACGAATATATATTGAAATGAATCAAATTGCACAGAATGGTGGAATACTGGGTCGAAAAAGTCGGTTGGAGTTTCTCTCACCTTCTCTGGATTTGCGACCTTCACAAATACTGACCGAGCGTACGTTGGCGAGTGAGATGTAGCACGTGATCCGATGGGACAAGAAGTGTACACAAAGACAGAGACAAGTGAAGAAACAATTGTAGGAAATATTTAGTACACCGTTAGCAAGAGAAAACCCGTACACTTTGATTGATTATTGTATATCTGATGATATTGGTAATGATATCAGACCCAACTAGGTCGAAACAGCAGCTTTTCAGTTCACAATTCATTTGCTCTATACACGATGAACTCCCTCAGTGCGATAAAAACCTTATTCCATCATTAAATTCCTGGTAAGTCGTTCTTTTATTCATAACGTACTTAGTGGTGAAATTAACTGGTTTCCGGACTCTCCGATGAACAATTATGGGTTCAATTTCTCCAGCGCAAAGAGCGAAACTGATCACAAAAGGTTGATTTGCCTAAAGAGGGAAGTCTAGTACGACACTTTGGAAACATTGGACAGTCACATCCGAAAGCAATACTGTATCAGTTGCCTAAATGAGAATAATCAACCGCTTACATGCCTGAACTACACTATTTATCAACAGAGACAAGTGTTAACTTCGAACGTTAATTAAGCTACTCACAAGTAGATAAAATTGTAAGGAAAAATCACGCCAGTTCAACGTCAATGGGAAACGAAATACGCAAATGGCATGTATAAAAACGAACTTCTGCAAGACATCAATTCTCAAATACCATAAATCAGTAATTAAACCAGCCCTACATACCTACGTGCTGAAAAAGCTACATTCCGTAAAAAGCACTAGTGATCGGCTCCCAAAACGCGTGAGTAACGTCGCTAATGTCAACACTCCACGCAACGGGAGGGCGGTTTTACAAGATTGGTTCCAGAAACATCAGTATTTGTGGGACCCCCATCCCCATGGTCAAATTCTCAAAAGTCCCCCTTCCATTTCTCAGTTTTACTTTGCACACACAACCAGTTGTTGAAAAATGCATATCATACCCCGCGTGTTGGGTTGCTGATGCCAC